GTGCACAAAATGCATACAAAATTTAGCCCACGGCTAACACAATAAACAGAATAGCATATGCCTATCAGCATCACTGATCCCTCTCAGACCAGGATCTCCAACATCAACACTGCCTACATAGCCCGCCTGATGTCTTGTCTGAACATCCTGATAGCTGACCGTGTCCCTGGTATTTGCTGTTGCAATGCTGGCCGGCCCCGTTGCATACCAGTCTGTTGTAGTCTCTGCAGTCTTTGCAGGCTTTGTGTAGCTTAACTTGGTTGTCTCCCCGTCGTGTGAAGCTATAATAAACATGACAAAATATCATAAACACTCTCGCACATTCCTTAACTAACTATATAATTTACCATCAATTCTACTTCCCTTTATAAATACTAAACCTAATATACCCCTACAAACATATTAAATTCTAGGATGCGTGACCATTTTCTTATTATAATAATGCCAAAACGCACGTATCACCGCAACCATATTTGCTACTGAGTGGCTTCCGTACCTTTTACACCTGCGCGCACTCAACCCTTGCACAGATAAATACAACTACTACTCAGGGCTTCCATAGATAAACTACGCGAGCAAAATCACGTTACTAAGTGAAATATACGCTTAAAGGCAACTAACTTACTTGTACATATCAACACATTACTTTACTATAATACCACATAAATCCTATTTACCTAATACTGTTAATTATGACATTTAAAATCAACACACCTGTATACTAAGCAAATAGTTAGCCAACTAAAACAACACACGCACACGTGACCAATTCACTCACCATTCACAATAACAAAAAGATGCACCTGCGTTCGTGACAAATGCTATTAGCCAAAAATTGAGCCCAATATATTTTCTTTCATTGAAAAAATGTTCTATCTAATTTATTCATGAAAATAAATTACTATGAAAGGAGAGACCGTTTCGAATACGTATTTTTTATGTCTGCATGGCTTCAAGACAATTTTGAGAGATTTATCTTTCACATAAACATGACATGCCTGTTTTCACTGTCTGTCTTCAAAGCATTACTTTGTTATTTAAATTATTTTTCTGAACATGATTTTTGACTGTATGGCTTCAAAAACATTTTTGGATATAAGATTTACTCGAACATTAGCTATCATCATTAATATGAATATTTCATTGTCCATAAATCATGCTGATTTTTTTTACATCGAAATCACATCGAGAAGACATGTTTGATTAGGACAACTGATTAGGACAGGTAATATACCTGCAGTAATCAATTCAATATACTTCTTACAGGAGGAACCGACTGAAGTCAAGTTCAGGAAAAAGACGGATAGTCATCAGGTAGTTGTTTATATTAGGTTCTAAATAAGTCTATTTGTCTGTTTAAATCAATCGGTTTTCATTTACAAAGATACCAATGTCGTATTCCCAATTTCGTGACATCATCACTCGGGTCCATCCATTTAATACTAGTCCTACTCCTCAGCGAACGTCAATCCTTGCGTTCACCTATCAGTCACTACCCAGTCACCATCACTCCGGTAGTGTCACTACCAAGTCACCATCACTCTGGTACTGTCACTACATAGTCATCATCACTCCGTCACTACCCAGTCACCATCACTCCCGTAGTGTCACTTCCCAGTCACCATCAATCCGGTAGTGTCACTACTCAGTCACCATCACTCCGGTAGTGTCACTACTCAGTCACCATCACTCCGGTAGTGTCACTACCCAGTCACCATCACTCCGGTATTATCCAGTCACTTTTACTCCAGAAGTCCCACTTTCTAGTCAACAAACTTTTCGTAGTCCTACAACTCAGTCGCAACCAACATTTGTAGACTTTATCTCCAGCTTTGTATACCATCTCGGTAGCCCCGCTTCCCTGTCGCGATCACAATTGTAATCGCCTCATCATATCTACTATGTATTTTCTACAGTTTTAGGTTTGTTTGTTTAATAACCCTTTTTTTTTTTATCTCTTTCCGCAGAAATCTTCCAAAAGAGACAGCTATTTAAGAAGAATCTCAAAATCGCCGGAGTTAGATGTTCCCCCTCCAAAAATACCTCCAAGAAAGTCCATCCCACCGCCACTTCCAGAAAGAAAATATTCCTTCACTTAAAGCAAGTCAGCTGTTGAGTATGTACTGTATAGACGAGTCTGTGTTTCATTAAGGCTGGATAAACATCTCTGGCTGACGGTAGTACCATTTCTAGTTTCATTCCTGGTTTTATTTGCTATTTAAATGTTGTTTCGTGGTTTGTGTTTTTGTTTAATATTGATGACGAATAACGATGGCAGTTTTGTACCAAAGACTACTTGTCCTGAAATACACCATTTTTGATACCAATCTTATAATAAAAAAAACTTGCTTTTAATAACAAAATGACATTTGATCTCAAAACAAGATTGAAAGCTTTTTTTAAATACCGATATTATTTGTTAACAAACAAAACTGTTGAGTATTTGTTATAGACATGCTTTTGCTATTCAATACTAAATCACATGTTGTGCATTATCAAATTAAGCTGTTATTTATTGGAAAAAAAACCTCCGTGTTTACCGTCAAACCCTCCAGGTAAGATAAGGAAAGCACTATTAAATGGCTTAACACACAAATGTATACATGTTGATAACAATCAAGACGAAAGTTTATTTATTGTGTTATATATTCTGTAATTATTTTATAATGTTGTGGTCGAGTGGTTAAGATGTCTGACCGACATACTTTGTGAGGAACCTCAAAAGCCGGCACCCCCGGGGCCCTCTGATTGGAACGCTTGATTGTTTTCGAAAAAAAGAGATGATTTCTGACCGTCTTTTCAGTAGCCCTCCAATGCTATGTCATAGGTATGAGGCCTGCATAAACCAGTTGCCAGGTACTGGCCGGAAGTCGGTGGGCTTTTCCCCCCGGTACACCGGCAGCCTGGTGCGTCCTTAAATTGCCCGGGCTGTTAACAGGACGTGAAACACCGACAACAAAAATAGATAAGACCACAAGGAGAAAGTACAGATTTAGTTCAAAGCTGATTTATTATCTAATGAAAACCGTTGCGTCTCCATCTGTTGTGTAATTAATGACCAAAAACAACGATATTTCGGTTTCACAGCGGGCGCTTGAAAGTATTGTGTCTGTAGATATTTACGAAAGCCTCCATCGCAGTGAAAAATGATCTCTGTCCCATAACATAGTTATAACGTGTTATCATAGTATACTAATGAATAACACCAATGTACAACATATTATCTACAAAATTGTTGTTTTAATCAAATATAAATATAAATAAATATAAATATTTGTCATGAGCTCTCTGAAGAGATTTTAAAGGGGAAAAAATTGATGCCAAAAATATGTATTTACGTAATGCAAAATCAGACATTTTCGTGGGCGTCAACTGTCGTAGTTTTTTTGTTTTGTTTTTTTATTATTTTTTTTTTTTTTTTTGACGTTTGATCTCGCTGATAACATAACTGTATATATCTGCTTACATCACTTTTAACACTTCGTGGACATATGAATTTGTTTATTAAGAATACCCACGAAATGAATGAAAATGAAACCTCCACGAAAATTCACGATTTCACAGACTGATATAAATTCTGTATCAAATCCTATGTCTTCTTAAGCCATTGTTTTGTGTTATATTCAGCATACAACCAAATATAATATCTTACGCAGCTTTTTAAGTCAACAGCCGAAACGTGTAGTTTGTCATTACCAATTTTCTGCTCAGGTCATGTTCAGCGCAGATTTAAAATATCTTAAATCTATTCAGGTCCATAAAGCTTTGAATTCCTAACAGCCATTGTCGCTTTTAAGACATTTTATAGAAGAAAAACAATGAGTGACATCAAACCTTGTATGACTGTGCGAAATAGTGTATGAAAGTTGCTTGTGAGCTCATAGACAATATTTCCGCAAGATGTGGAATAAAGTTTGTCAAACTAAACATATTTGATTTTTTGTGTCATTATTATTTTAAGTTCAGCTGGTAAAAAGTACTTGTATATTGACAACAGGTTGTTGTCGGTTTAATTTCTTTGGGTTTTATGTCATCAGTTGACCTTTTTTTTTGTGCCCATCAATGTCGGAGCTGGTAAACAATGCTGACTTTTAAGTCCAGGAGATTAAGTGGCAAGGTCGAGAATATACCAAAACACTTGACGTTATCCTGGAAACATCAGTTATAGAAAATATGATAAATATGGCACTACAAGGCTACTGTATCTCCTCTTAAGACTTTTCTTTCGTTTTAATTTATTCAAATATTGGCACGGTTTAGAATATGCACATGTACTTGACGTTTTTCTAAAATTATCAGAGAATTATGGGGCCATAACACCTCCCCATCGAGATTTTGATATTTTTTTTTTTCGATCACTTCGGATTGTCAGTCATTTGTCCCATAGACTAGGAAATTGAGACCCTCAGCAACACTGACGAGTCCTGGAAGGACGGAATAGTTGTATGATGTAGTTTGAAAAAATAATATTGTAAATGTGTGATATCACCAGAAGTTTCTCTATAGATGTAATCAGAGCACAAAGTGTGTGCCGTCACATGTCAAGGCGTTGAATCGCGATGAAATTGCTCCGTGAAAATCCATGCATATTTAATCATAGGTACACAGCCTGCTGTCAACCATTGCCAACCAGTGATCAATCTTTTATATCGCTACTTACATAAGTTTGAATAAGTGATGCATAATAGATCTATTCTTCACACAGTCTCTCTCAGAATGCATTGCGATACTCCAACAACACCTCTGTAAACAGCTCACGCCAATTTAAGTTCTTGAAAAACGTTTATGTGTAAAATGATAAAGCATCTAATTATTTTTCTGTTTTCCTTTTTCGTATTAATATTTTGAAAATAAATGTTTGTTGATCTGGAAAATGAACGTTATGGATAATTTCGCGGAAGATTAACTTTGAGTTAACAGTCACCAACCGTCGTGTTTATATTTCATACTTCCACTATTCAACTTGCGACCTGTTCTTGAGACACATGTAGATATACTGTGGTGTCAGTGATAACTGATAATAATTTGTCTGCAATGTTAGCACATGACCTCTCAAAAAGCGCAAATAATGTTTTTATGTTGATCGAAGGCATACAAAACAGTCTACCGGGATGCCGCCATAGTTTTGCACGACGTCAAACTCTGACTCTGACCGCGTGAACGACGTCAAACTTTGACCCTGACCGCGTGAACGACGTCAAACTTTGACCCTGACCGCGAGGTCAACTATCGTTAGCCTGTGAGACGTTTACAGAAGTGCATTGTGACTGTTAACGAACGGCAACTCAGGTAGATATTTTTCTTGACATTATGGAATGTCACAACGTCTATCGTCCATCCGTCCGTTCGTCGGACAGTTTGCTATTTTAAACGTAATTTTTCGAACGCACAGAACACTTGTCCATTACCCTGCTACCTGAGGCAGGGTTCTATAGAACTCAGTCAGATAACCATATCCTACTACCAATATCACAGGGGACACATACTGCAAACAACTGCAACAGTTTTATTAAGGAAGATTTCTGACACAGAATCTGTAAAAAAATTGTTAATTACAAAAAATGACAAATTTCAGAGATTCTTAAGTCATAATTTGCAGGCTCTATATTAAGAACAAGAACATGTCGACGCAAAAAAAAAATATCTTAAACTCGATTAAAAACGAGTAAGACATACACGTATACCCGTGATAAACAAGCGTATGTCTACCATGTACCTGCCATACAATAAATTTGACATTGGAGGTTAAGTAGGACAGAATTAAGAGTCCTTTCAACAATATATGGTTTCTATTTTCGTTAATTGCCTGACAACATAGACATCTATATCGGTGGACCTAAATAAGTTATATGAAACCAATAAGGTACAAATTAATTTGTTTAATGGTATGTCTCAGCCCTTGTTAATCACTGTCGTGATAATGTGCAAACAGCACACTACGCCATCAATAAAAAATGATAATGTGCAAACAGCACACTACGCCATCAATAACGGTCATTTTCCCCCCAGAAGTCCTTGTAAATCTATCACAAAATTGGCGAAACCGTTCATTTCGACAGGGAAGCGACACACGCAGTTAAGAATCTTGTCTTGTCCCAATATATCGTAATATATTGGAGATTTTCTCAACTGGCATAAGCATCTAGTGGGAATAGTTTATAACCAGCCCGTTATATATGACTAAAATCTCGTGCAATTCAAGAAAGGTGAATATAACCATTTTGTTTATGTCCAGGAGTGGTCCCCGGCAAATTTAAAGCAATGAAATTGAAGAGAAAATTTCCATAGTGTTCTATTCATAGGTAGCTGAGGAAAATGTGTTAATACATGTTTGTTTAAAAATAGACTTATGAAACTGATCTACGGTTTTGCCAGAGAACATTCTTTTGGATGTTTGCCAGTTTTTTGTGAACTGCACTCTACGTCACTGGAAATTTTCAGACCTGTTCATACGATGTAGGTGTAAATGAAGGTCAGTTGAACTACAAACTATTTCAAATATCAAGAAAAACAAAGAATTCAGTTCGTAACCAAATATATTTATTTTTTTATGTTGAAAGTATCATCAATAAAGATTCATCTTGTTATTTCAATTCTTTCAAAAGACAAAATATATCTCGATATTTTTGGCATTTACAACAACCACATTTACACACTTAACACGTGTCAGGAACGACGTCATATACATTGTGGATGTATACATGTAAAAAGTTGAACTATAAACAATTCATTGAGACTGAAGTGTTTACCACAGATCAATCAATGAGAAAACTTCAGTATCTCGAACACTTTAAATATTACAGATCACGATGGAAAAATAATTCATTGAATTAACCACATAAAACGATTTTTTCCCTCGAACTCACATCTAGGAAACACAGCATTCCATGTTCATGAGCGAAACGGAGTTTGAGTTGAACAGGAAATCTTGTAGACGACCGATAAAAGTATGTTAGTCAATCACTATAAAGTCGTCATTTTTCGCGGGGATTTAGTTTCGCGGAAACACTTAATTGAAGAATCCGTATGTCCATGAACTGTTAAAGATGGTATATTAGACTGACTGAGATATTTTTATCTTTAAAAATTGATTAAACCACATTGATGTTCTACAGGGGATTAATATATCCTTCAAACGTAGAAACGGGAGTTTGTTTAGTCCGGCGTCATTGATTATTACCAGTAAGGTCGAATGTTATTTGAGAAGTTTGTTTTTAATTTTCTGTCGTGTTTGTTTGTGTGTGTTTTCTGACAAAGTCAGATGAGGAAAGGAACTTCATAAATATTTATGAAATTTAAAAAGTAGTGTTCAAGAAAGCAAACAAAATTATTTCGTTATGTAATTACTGAAAGGTCAGCCGTCCTCACTCTTTAAATATCCGCCACATTTTCAAAGATAAAAAAAATTAAAAAAAACCTATAAGCAAAGTATTGAACAATACACAACCAGGAAGTGTTTGGGCTGCACTGTATAGGAGTTGCTATGCCTTTGTGCATTTT